GAGAGAGAGAGAGAGAGAGAGAGAGAGAGAGAGAGAATGAGAATGAATGTGCTCTTCGTCAGGAAACAAACCCTGACCCAAAAAGCTCAAAATAAAATAATAAAGCTAAAAGTAGACATAGTGAGACCCTGTAAATACATAAATAAATGCAGAACACAGTAGGAAAATGTTACTACAAAAATGTATTTAAAATATACTCACTGTACTTTATGATCAAGTAACTACAAGTGTTCTAGGTAAGGTGGTAAACCTAGAAATAATACGAAGTCCAGGATAACTAAACCACAGTAAGATCTGTGATTCTTCTTTCATATTAAAAAAAAAATTGTTTCTTTTTTTATGTGTATGAGGATTTTTCCTGCATGTATGTACGTGCACCACATGCATGCCTGGTGCCTGAGAAGGCCAGAAGAGGGCATTAGATCCCTTGGAACTGGAGATCTAGATGGCTGTGAACCCCCATGTGGGTGCTGGGGACTGAACCTTGGTTCTCTGCAAGAGCAGCCAGTGTTCCTAGCCACTGAGCCATCGCTCCAGCTCTTCTTTTACGCTTTCATTCTCCCATGTAGATGAAAATATAAGATAAATAGGATCAGTCAGTCGCATACAGTGGAAACAGATCATGTTTACAACAGGACATGCGTTGCTCTACCAAACTCATTTGTCTACACAGAACTTTTTAAACCCCCCGCCCCAACCTCTGCCTACCTACCTCAATGCCTGGCTGTGCAGAAATGGTTACTACAATAGTGAGAACCACTCTACACCCACAGCCTGAAGCAGCTCCCTGAGTCAGTATCCTTATACCCAGGGATGGTGATGACAGACTTCACAGAAGGGGGGTGAAACGTGTTCAAGGAACACATGTTCTTTTTTCATTTTCCCACCTAACTGTGGCTACTTTGTATTTTTTGATATTTAGAAGTATTCTTATTCAACTTTTCACTCTGAAATTCATCTGTTCACTTCAAAGCTGCTTAATTTGAGGGCTCATGTAGCCTGTGCTTCGTGGATTATTTTTAAGCAGTTCTAAAACTAAAACTCACAAATTTAGATCTGCTGGGTATTCTGGGATATAATATGTGTGAAGTCATGACAAAATAAAGTTGAAATATGAGCTACTGGCTACAGACCAAGCACCTGAAGACAGAGATTCAAACTATAAAAAGTCATGCTGGGTGTGGTGGTGCACACCTTTAATCCCAGCACTCAGGAGGCAGAGGCAGGAGGATCTCTGTGAGTTCAAGGCCAGCTTGGTCTCCATAGTGAGTTCCAGGCCAGCTGGGGCTACAGGGAGACCCTGTCTCAAAAAAAACCAAGAAAAAAAAAGTCCACCCACTCTTCTTTATTTCAGCTCACATAGAAATAACATATACTTTACTTTGCTGTATCAGTATTTATGGGAATTCTTGCTAATGAGAAAATGAAAATAAAGCCAATTTTCCACTGAATTTCATTTTAATGAACTGGAATTTTCCCTCATGATTATCATCTTAAAGAAAAGTATTCATTATTCTAGCATTTTATGAAAACCAAAGATACTTACACATTCAGTAACTATGTTTATGTTAAAAATGTCTTTCAGTAATTAAAAAAAATGGGGCTGGATATGTAGCTCAGCGGTAGAGTGCTTACATGACATGCTGAAAGCCTTGTATTCAGTTCCCAGCATTATAAAAATAGGTAAACAACGAAGCACTACAAAGTTAAATATCTGCCATGGGGATGCTGGGAATTGAACCCAGGTCCTCTGCAAGAGCAGTCGGTGCTCTTAACCACTGAACCATCTCTCCAGCCCCCTTCCACTATTTTTTGTTTTTTATTATATAACCTTGGACAATTTTCTAGAAAGCCCTCTCTGACCTTTCATACTTAAAGAGCTACGTGCCTCCTGTTTCTACTTCCACAGGACTTCTATACAAATATTCTTTTACAAATTCCACATCATTGAAATTATCTATTTCTGTCTTATGTCCTTCAGGAAAAACAACAACAATAAAAACCTCGATAGCAGTCACAGGAATACAGCATTGCTTTCTGGGACATTCTCAGTACAGGCACTGACCCTCAGCCAGGGAACACTACCTTCTCAACTCCTACTCTCGGCCACAGTGGGCTGTAGAACTGAGCACCATGCCGGGCATTCAACAGTTAACAAGGTGGATTTAATTTCTGCATGGATCTATAACATTTAACAAGCACATAGAGCAAAGTACCCTATATCAAATGAGCACCACAGTCTTATTTTCCCGCTAGCTCCTTACGTTCTGGTTGTTTTTCATTGGGCGTTATGGATCGCACAAAATCTTGTGGAGTCATAAACACTTCTGTTTCACCAGGTTCGTTGATGACTTTCAAAGTGGCAAAATATCTGAAGATTTTGTCTGGTGTGGAGTAGGCTCGAATCCTATTTTCGTATTCCATCACCTAGAATTAGAAATTAGAGAGTGCTAGAACATTCAGGTTGCTCCCCTCCAGCATCCATGTTCATCAATTCCCCTATACTTTTCGCCTTATTTGGGGGAAAATTTCATTATCTCTCTTTTTCTGTTATTGGATTTTTTTTTTTTTTTTGGTTTTTTTGAGACAGGGTCTCCCTGTAGGCCCAGCTGGCCTGGAACTCACTATGTAGACCAGGCTGGCCTTGAACTCAGAGAGATCCGCCTGCCTCTGACTTCCCAGTACTGGGATTAAAGGCGTGAGCCACCACGTCTGGCCCTGCTATTGGATTTTTAATGCAACACATAAGCTCAATTTCAAAAATCTTCAGTTTCTTTCTTGCAAGATATAAGGTTCATGAAACTTGTTTAGAACTTATTTTATGTATTTACTTTTATTTCATTTGTAGGAGTGCATTCCCTGCATGTATGTAAGTTCAGCCATGTTGTACAATGCGCACAAAGGCCAGAAGAGGGCATTGGGTCCCCTGGAACTGGAGTTACAGATGGCTGTTAGCTGCCACATGGGTACTGGGAATCAAACCTGGGTCTTCTGCAAGAGCAGCCAATACTCCTAACCACTGAGCCATCTCTCCTAGAACTTTTTAAAAAAAAGAATTCTCTCATTTCTTCCATAACTGAAAGCTAGCAAGATTTAAAAACTGTCATTAAGAGAATTCAAAAGGTCTCAGTAACAGGGTAAAATGCCATAAATTGTAGCCTACAGGCTCTTAACTATCAACTTAAAAAATTTTTTTTTATTATTTTTATTTTATGTGTATGAATGTATTGCCTGCATGTATGTGAGTGCACCCATGTCATGCAATGCCACAGAGGTCAGAAGAGGGCTTTGGATTCCCCTGGAACTGGAGTTAAGGACGGTCTGTAGCTGCCATGTGGGTGCTGGGAGTTGAACCCAGGTCCTCTGCAAGAGCAGTCAGTGTTCTTAACGGCTGAGCCATCTCTCCAGCCCTTTAAATACCAACTTTTAAAAAGAGATTCACCTTACGTTCTTTCTTCTGTACAATTTCCTGAATTCTAAAAGAAAACAGATTTGAGATTTCTCAGGTTTGAGAGGTAGCAGGCCTTGTAAGACAAAATACATTAAATGATGCCATGAAAAATAAAACTGCAGGGGCTGGAGAGATGGGTCAGTGGTTAAGAGCACCGTCTGCTCTTGCACAGGACCTGGGTTCAATTCCCAGCACCCACATGGCAGCTAACAACCATTGATACTCCAGATCCAGGGGATCCCATGCCTTCTTCTGATCTCCACAGGCACTGCACAACACAGGTGCCCTTACACACAAGCAGGCAATATACTCGCACATAAATACATAAATACACATAAAATAAGAAAACAATAAATAATAGAAAAGAAAAAGAAAACTGTGTATCATGGAAGCTCAAGGTCTGTACTTTAGACTAAAATTAGGTGAACTCCCAACAAATCTCTACATGTGGCATATGGAAAGAAGCTGGCGAACATTTACCCTCATATTGGACACACAAACCTCTAAGAATGGAGTACACAAAACACTATACCAATTACACACTATTTTAGTAAAAATATGTCTCTCATATCTGAATTGTATTTTATCTATTCTCATTTTTTGTGATGGGGTCTCATGTATTTCAGGCTGGCTTTAAACTCGCTCTGGAGACTAGGAGGATCTTGAACTTCTGATTCTGCTGCCTCAGTCTCCTGGAACACTGGGGTTCCAGGTATGCACCACCACACCCAGTTTATAAAGTGCCAGGGATCAAACCCTGGATTTCATGTGCTCTAGGCAAGCATGCTGTGTCAATGCAATAAAACCTAAGCGCTCATACACATTCCATGTGTATAAAGCAGCTAATATTTTTTAAATTATTGGTATTTTAAATTTGTCATATCAACATAGCAATTACTGTAACTGTCAGTCATGGCTAAATTCACTTTCAGGTCATTGGCAGCAGCTGTTTAACAATGGACTTAATTCCACTACCAGATGTGCTTTTAGCAACTGAGAAAGGACTGCTAATTTATAACTCCACACAACCAGAATTCAATGACAACTTGCATTAAAATCTGAGTAGAGGGGCTGGAGAGATTGCTCAGTGGCTAAGAGCATGGCTGCTCTTGCAGAGGACCTGGGTTCAATTCCCAGCATCCACATGGTGGCTAACCACTGTCTGTAACTCCAGTTCCAGGAGATTCGACACCCTCTTCTGGCCTTTGCAGGCACTGTGTGACACGGGTGCACTTACATACATGCAGGCAAAACACTCCTACACATAAAAGAAAAATAATAAAATATAAGAAAAGAAAAACAATTTAAAAAATCTGAATGTTGTGATACTGAATAGCAAAAGTAAAATCATGAATTAAAATTATACATAGATTTTGGCCAAGGAAGGAAGAATGTCTTTATAATACAGTATCAACTGCTTAAGAATAAGCATGTTTTGGGGCTGGAGAGATGGCTCAGCAGTTAAGAACACTGGCTGCTCTTGTAGAGGACCTGGGTTCGGTTCCCAGCACCCACATGACAACAACCATCTATAACTCTAGTTCTAGGGGAATCTGATACCCTCTTCTGTCCTCTATGGGCATTGCATGACCTGGGTGCACTTAATACATGCAGGCAATACACGCATACACACAAAATAAAAATAATAAATAAAAATATTTTAAAAAGCTTAAAAAAGAATAAGCATGTTTTAATTCCTTCATGAAACAAACATGAAGAGCTTTTAAGAGGTAAAGTCTCTTTAAAAAAAAAAGAATCCCTCTTTAGAAAAATGAATCAAACTCTTGAACTCATATAGAATAGTAGATATGATTTTAATAAGCTTATGATTTAAAAAATGTGGGTTATCACAGAATGCTTCTGCCAAGTTTTATAGTCTATTTTTTAAACATTTATTTTTACACATATGTGAGTGTAAATGTGTCTTTAAGTGTGCATGCCACAAGCACATGTGTGGAGGTCAGAGGACATCTTTACCATTTGGGTTATGGAGATTGAATTCAGGGTGTCAGGCTCAGCAGCAAGTGTCTTTACCCACTGAATCATCTCTCCAGACCTAGTTGTATTTATTTTTTAGAGAAGTGCATTTTTGGTTTTATTTAAAAGATCTCATGTCTCTTATTAAATTTATTCTAGATACTTTGTAATTTTTGCTTTTATAAACTGGATATTTTCTATTAATTTAAAAAATAACTAAAGTATTTAAAATTTGCTATTAATAAAAATATGTTTATGGCTGGGAGTGGTGGCGCCTAACTTTAATCCCAACACTTGGGAGGCAGAGGCAGGTGGATCTCTGTGAGTTCAAGGCCAGCCTGGTCTACATACTGAGTTCCAGGCCAGCTGGGGCTACAGGGAGAGCCTGTCTCAAAAAGAAAAAACAAAATATGTTTATGATTATTTAAATTATAGATAGAATAATTCTTACCATGTGTGTATAAGCTACTTAAGTGAATAAACAGACAGGAACTGAAACAAAAATTTTATTGGGGACATGAATAAGTGATGAAATGGATTGCCAGGGAGTGACTACAGAATAACGAACAGAATCCTTTGTTCAAGGATAACGTGGACAATTATCCTTGAACAGAGGTGAGACAGCTCTTCCTCTGAGACTAGGGAAAGAAATAAGAACTGTTTCTGACATAGATTAGATAGGCTTTCCAGCTTCAGGGTCAGAAATTAATACATTACACTGACAGCTTCAGTTTTTCTGTGAAGTATGAGGTATAGTCATCCGCTAAGGAGAAGACAGTGAAATGGAAGCAGGCTAATAAATGGTAATTGAATCATTTGACTCCGTAAAATGGAAAGTATGTAAATGAAACTGCTGGCACAAGGTAAAGCTGAGCTTTCTTTGAATTTACTCAGAATGAAAGAGTAAATACCTCCTTGCTAAGCCAGCCAGGACGCTTGGTGACACGCTTGTGATAGATAACTTTGTTCAAAGTCACCTCAATCAGAAATGGATTTACAAGTTGAGAAGATGCCTTTGTAACTGTATCTAAAAAGTTCTAAATTTCCCAAAGGAATTCTTCTTACAGATGCACAAAACAATGCACAACCACTAATAACTCATCTTGCAGTATCCTCTGTATTTCAACAATGGACAGCAACTCCCTGAGAATTTTAATCCCAACAAGCTAGCTGTCTAAGAAGTTTGTCCTGAGTGTTTATCACTGCTGAACTCACATGTCTAAGGTCACAGGCATCACACAGTGGGACAGAAACTGCCCTGAAGTAAGGCTACATTGCAGGAAGATGTGTTAACTCCATGAAGGGCAAGAGTCACTCAGTTTATGTTGTCACAATTACTTGGCTTTCTAGAAATTGTTTCTAAACAAATCCTATTCTCCTTTTACAATTTAATGTGACAAATCAGAAATAGCATAGAACTCAGCATATATGACAATATTAAACATTAAGAAGATTTAGAAAGCTGCTGGGTGTGGTGGCGCACAACTTTAATCCCAGGCAGAGTCAGGTGAATCTTTGTGAGATCAAGGCCACCCTGGTCTATATAGCGAGTTCCAGGCCAGCTGGGGCTACAGGGAGACCCTGTCTCAAAAAGAAGATCCAGAAAGCAAGAATCATCTTACTATGTGAACCCAAGAGCAAAGAACATGTTCATCCTTAAGACCGGCCCTGGGTACACTTCATTATTTCCTTTGATGTCAATTCCATGGCACCTTTGGCTTAAAACAGGCCGAAAAATAGCAAGAGGTAAAAACTCAGGAGTGACCATGACCCGTCTGGAACACAGGCTAGGAGGCGGCACTCCATCACCTCACCTCAGCATACAGTTCTGATTAACTTGCAAAATTTTGTCCATACTTTTCTGTCTCTGAATCCAGAGCGTTTCTTCTTCTTCTCTTCTGGGTAGGGCTGGACACCAGCCTCTGCAGCCTTTCTTTCACTGCCATCAACTGCCCCGTCATCCTTATTCTTCCCCCTCTCACCGATGTCAGTCTTTACGCAGTTGACACATGGTGGGGATTCTGCATGAGCCCTGGGTATGCAAAAGAGAAGCCTAGATGAATCATGTAGGTTCCTCATATTAACAAGTGAGCTCTCAGCTTACAAGAGCAGCAGCAATCAAATTTGTCAAAAATTCTACATGAAGGTGTTCCTCTAAAACCTGAAATAGCCTGGGCAATCCCATTTTTTGTTTGTTTGCTACAGGTACAAAACAACTGAAAGCAGTGACCTGCTAAGCGGAGTAGGTCAGTCCCAAGAAGATAGAATTGTATGACTCCATTATATGAATGACCAAGATTAGTTAAATTCATAGAGCTGAATGTGGAATGCAGTGGCTGAAGGCCGGGGAGATGGGGACTGTGGCGTGACTGTTTGGTGGATAGGGAGTTCCGGTTTGGGAAGAAGAACAGAGTTCTGGAGATGGACAGAAGGAAGAAAGGCTTTCCAAGGGAATGCCATTTCACGCTTGTAAGACGAAGCTCTGGATCCCTGTTCACGACAATGAGATAAACTTAATATGACTGAGAGATAGGTTTAAAGAAATGGTTGAGATATGAAATTTCATGTGCTGTTTTCTATAACAAAGAAAGAATATAAATAGGGGTTGGGGATTTAGCTCAGTGGTAGAGTGCTTGCTTAGCAAGTGCAAGGTCCTGGGTTCGGTCCTCAGCTCCGGAAAAGAAAAAAAAAAAAAAAAAAAAAAAAATTCTTAAGCCAGGCATGGGGGCACATGCTTTAATCCCAGCACTCTGGAGGCAGAGGCAGGCGGATCTCTGTGAGTTCAAGGGCAGCCTGGTCTACATAGTGGGTTCCAGGACAGCTGGGGCTACAGGGAGACCCTGTCTCAAAAAGACCAATATATATATATATAAAGAGGGGCTGGAGAGATGACTCAGCAGTTAAGAGTGCACACTGCTTTTGCAAAGGGCCTGAGATCAGTTCATAACCAATTGTAACTCCAGCTCCAGGGATATCCAACACCCTCTTCTGGCATCTGTGAGCACCTGCACTCAGATACACATACACACATGGATACGCATAATAAAAGTCTATTTATGTATCTATGTATCTAGCCATCCATCCATCCATCCATCCATCCACCCACCCATCCTTATTATACACACACTTATGAAGATTTCCCAAACATCATGAGCCAGGGTGATTCCTTTATTCATTCAAACTCCTATATCATTTAATGTTTGAACCACAATATACAATTTAGTGTTATAGATGGTTCCTTATGTACTCTTAGAATCTACTTATTCTTCAATTATTAGTCACATGATCTCTGTGTGTGTGTGTGTGTGTGTGTGTGTGTGTGTGTTCCTGTGTGGGAATTCAGTTGTGCGTGTGCCCCAGTGTGCCCTGAGACAATGTCTCTTTGTCACCTGCCTCTGTGCACGTACTCCAGGTTAGCTAGAGCGAGCATGCAGGGATTCTCCAGTCTCTGCCTCTCATTTTTCTGTAGGAGTGCTGGGATTACACATACTACCACACCGTTTTATGTGGATTCTTAGACTAGGCCCTCAGATTTGCATGGCTAGTGCTTTACCCATTGAATCATATTTCAACTCCATTATTTTTTTAAAAAAATTTAAAAAATGTTTCATTTATTATTTTTATTTTATGTGTATGAGTGTATTGCCTGCATGTATGTGAGTGCACCCATGTTGTGAAATGCTGCAGAGGTCAGAAGAGGGCTTCGGATTCCCCTGGAACTGGAGTTAAGAACAGTTCGTAGCCGCCATGTGGGTGCTGGGAATCGAACCCAGGTCCTCTGCAAGAGCAGTCAGTGCTCTTAACCGCTGAGCCATCTCTCCAGCCCCTAAGCCCCATTATTTTTATGAATCAAAAATTGTCAACTAGCTGGGCATAGTGGCACACACTTTTAATCCCAGAACTTGGGAGGCAGAGGCAGGTGAATTTCTGTAAGTTCCAAAGCCTCACTGGTCTACATAGTGAGTTCCAGTCCACCTGGGGCTACAGGGAGTCCCTGTCTCCAAAAGACAGAAAAAAAAAAAAATCCTCAAAAAACAGTTGTCAATGATGCCAGGTCTGGTGGCATGTGTCTGTTATTCCAGCGCACAGGGGCAGAGGCAGGAAGATGAGAGCAAATTTGAGACTAGTTTGATCTACATACCAAGTTCTAGGTCTGAAAAAAAATCAAGTAAGAACAAAACAAAAGACCTCAAATATGGTTCACCCTAACAGACAACTTCATTAACAAGAGCCCAGATGCTGCATTTTTTTCTTTTAAGTCTGCTGGTACCCTCCCCCAAAGGAAACATGTGTGACTGATTAATGAACACAAATAGAAGTCCTTAGTGGTGATGCTCATTGGAAAGAGGTAGAGGAAAAACTATACTGGAATTAAGGTCCCGAGACCTTAAGAATAAAAATCATCTGTCTTAAGATGTCTGTCTTAAGAATAAAATCATCTCTGGCTGGGTATGGTGGCACACGCCTTTAATCCCAGCATGAAGATCTCTGTGAGTTCAAGACTAGCCTGGTCTACACAGGGGGTTCCAAGCCAGGTGGACCTATAGGGAGACTGCCTCAAAAACAGCAGCAACAACAACTAGTAAACACAAAGCCTTTCCCTTCTTTAGAATCTATCAGGCCAGTGAGATGGCTCAGAGCATAAGGATGTGCTGCCAAGCCTGACGACCTGAGTTCAATCCCTGGAACCCACATGGCGGAGAGAACTGACTCCTGCAAGTTGTTCTCCGACCTTTACACACAGGCTGTACACACACGCACACGCACACGCACACGCACACATACACACATACACTAAAACGTTTTTTAATAACCTTTATTAAATTTCTTCTTTGGCTATGACATACCTGTATATACTGTACTCTGATCACTCCCATCCCGCCCTCTTACCTCCCTCCCACTCCTGTCAACTGCTCACCCCCAAAGTCCCATCTCCACATTCATGCCTCTCTGCTTTGTTTGGGGACTCACTAGGTTTAACCACGGCCAACTGTGTGACCTTGGATTTGGAACTGTCCACTGGAGCCTAATGGGCTACCAGTGAAGACACAATGAAGGCAGTGACTGCCACTTTCTTTAAAATATATTTTAAAACAGAAAAATCAGTAATAACAAAACATTCCAAGGTTTGTACACATACAGGCATAAAATATATAATAGCAATAACATTAAAAATGAGAAAGGGAGTTAGCCGGGCGTGGTGGTGCACGCCTGTAGTCCCAACACTTGGGACACAGAGACAGGCAGATCTTCTTGAGTTCAAGGCCAGCCTGGTCTACATAGTGAATTCCAGGACAGCTGGGGCTACAGAGACTAAAAAAAAAAAAAAAAAAAAAAAAAAAAAAAAAAAGAGAAAGGGAATATAAGTACGTCATTGTAAGGTTCCTATGTATAAGGGAAGTGACAATTTTTTGAAGACAGATTATGACAAACTCAAGATGCAAGATATAAAGTCTAGAATAGAGATTGGCAAAGTATAGTCCATGGGTCAAATCCAGCCTCTCACTTAGTTTGTAAAGCCCTTGAATGACATAAGAATGGTTTCTACATCCTCAAATCATTAAAATGAATCAAAATAATAATATTTTGTGGTACATGAAACTTATATGGAATTTAGTTTCCTTACCCATAAAGTTTTCTGAAACTCAGCTGTGGTCACACACTCTTATAGGGTCTATGGCTGCTTCCATAATACAATTTTGCATAATTATAATTCCATAATGCAATTAATATATGTTAATAAACATAAGAAAGGAAGAGAAAAGGAAAAAGAAGGAATATCAATCATAAAAACAAGTGAAAGACAGAGGCTTGGTGGTCTATGCCTATAATCCCAGCACTAGGAGAAAGCTGAGGTAGGTGGATCCTGAGTTGGAGGGTAGACTGACCTATTCTCCAGTCCTTAATCTGAACCTTAAGAATATGCTGACTCCAGGGAAGAAAAAGTTATGGACTTTTAAAAATACAATCACCCAAAACTTTCGAAAGTCAGGCATGATGGTGCACACCTGTAATTCCAGCATTTAGGACGTGGGGACAGAAGAATCAGAAGTTCAAGGTCATCCTTGGCTACAGAGCAAGTTCCAGGCCAGCCTGGGCTACATGACTTTCTTTCTGTATTAAAAACAAACAAACAGGCCGGGCGTGGTGCGCATGCCTTTAGTCCCAGCACTCAGGAGGCACAGGCAGGTAGATCTCTGTGAGTTCAAGGCCAGCCTGGTCTACATAGTGAGTTCTAGGACACCTGGAGCTACAAGGAGACCCTGTTTCAAAAAGACCAATAAATAAATAAATAAATAAATAAACAAATAAACACAACATACAAACAACAAAACAAATATCTTTTTCTTCAACTTCTTCAAGCACAATTTACCACCTTCTTTAAAGTAAGCCAAAGACACTTCTAAATGCACCTGCTTGGGTCATGGAATTCCACTATAGAAGCATCCAGAGCCAGGTGTGGTGGTGCATGCCTGTAATCCTTGCACTTGGGAAGCTGGGGCAGGAAGACTGTCATGAGTTTAGGCCAGTGTTAGCTACACAGCGTGTACCAGGCGAGCCGGGCCTATGAAACAAGACCCTTCCACAACTCCCTTCCCCTCAAAAAGTATCCAGTAATAAATTGTGAAATGTTTGCTATGGAGGTTGGAGAGATGGTTCAGTGGTTAAGAACACTTGTTCTGCCAGCAGTTAAGAACACTTGTGAGCCGGGCCTGGTGGCACACTCCCAGCACTCGGGAGGCAGAGGCAGGTGGATCTCTGTGAGTTCAAGGCCAGCCTGGTCTACATAGTGAGTTCCAGGACAGCTGGGGCTACAGGGAGACCCTGTCTCAAAAAAACAAAAAAAAGAACACTTGTTAGACCCAGGTTTGATTCCCAACATCCACATGGCAGTCAACAACCATCCATAACTCAAGTTCCAGGGGATCCAACACCCTCTTCTGGCTTCTGTGGGCAGTGCACACATGTAGTGCACTTATAAACGTTCAGGCAAAACATTCATATACATAAAATAAAAAAATAAAATATTTG